ATAAATTTTATAATTTTTGACTATATAGTTAAGGATTTAAAAATTAACAAAGTGGAAATTTATAATAAAAACATAGTAAGTGGACTCAAACTTTTAAAAGCAACTGTAAGTAAAGGATCTATACTAGAATAGTTCCAAATTATAATCAAAAATCTCTCAGAAGAATAACTAAAGCAACTCATAAGATCCTGAAGAGAAAATTATATGAAATAGGAACCAGAATACTCTAAAATAGACTCTAATCAAGACAAGTAAAAAAAATTGTGAATAGTGATAAGAAGCAAAAAAAATCAAGTAACTTGGAGAAAATTAAGACAAAAAAAAAGAGAAAAACATTATGATGGTAGAGCACTTTGTCAGTTGTAGCATCAATAATAATCAGGAAACTAATTTACAAAAATGCTCAGGATGTTTAGAAGGTACAACACTAAATGGTGATTGCATCATAGAAAGAAGAATAGGAGAGATATATACAGTACCATATCCCAACATGAAAAAGTCCACTAGAAGAACATGAGATTTAAAAATCATCAATCCTAGATTAACACTTGAAAAAAGAATTAAAGAAGTGATTTATAGAGACCAAAGCCTATTCAAGATTCAAAACAATAGAATAAATTACGTAAATATTGAAATCTGAGAAGAATCTATTATTAAAGAAAATATTAAAGAAAGTGCATATCAAGATCATCTGATAACTATACTTTAACGTAATCTCGAATCTAAAGAAAAACCAATCTTCTATTTTAATGGATTACTTATTAATCATAATAAAGAAGAAATAAAAATGGAAGTAGCTTGGATTCAGATCGGTAAAGATGAAAGGAAAAGCAAGTTCTAAATAGGAGTAAATAAATGACCCTCATTTACAAGAGTGGAATTGGTAGCAATTATAACAATACTTTTAGTAGTTCCAATTGAAAACATAGTTGAGATCTTTACAGACAGTCAAGTATGTATTTCCAAGTGGAAATCTTTAAAAAGAAAGATTCAAGAAGGATACACAAGAGATGGCTCAAAGAAAAAAACTAATCCCTCTAGACACATATGGTAGAACTAATAAAGAAGAAACATATAGATTTAAAGCTCACAAAAGTCAAAGCATACTTAAATGATCCTTATAATAAAGAAACAGATACCTTAGCCAAAGAAGCTTTAAAATTTCCATTGATTGAATGAAAAGATTTTACCTCACGTAAAACTATTACTGAAATCAAGTAGTAAAGAATGACTCTAGATGATCCAATTAGGCAGTTTATTAAGAACATTAATAATGAAATAACAGCCTATCAGTGGATATAACAAAACAGAATTGAGAAAAAATAAAGTTAACAGATTTTAGAACACCAGGCTCATACATGGAACCTAGTATAAGAAAGAGTTAAAGATGGATATACGTGAGATATATCTTTTAAACAATCCCAACAAAGAAGTTTTCTAATTAAACTGCCTAATAACGAGCTATCTACATTAAGTAAGTTGACTATAAGAAGACTGAACCTATATAAACAAGTAAGATGTATTGCATGTAGCCAACAAGATGAAACTATAGAATACTTGCTAAAATGCTTAATCTATAAGAACCAACTAAATGAGGCATAGAATAAAGAAGTAGATGGAATTATCAAAGATTTTAAAGAACTACTAGGGGAAATAAAGAGAGAGGTTGAAGAGAAAAATTACAGGTTAATTATCAATGATCGAGAAGAGATAGGAAAGTTTAACAAGTGAATCTCTAAAGTAATAGAACAGGCTTCTAAAACTAATCAGAACATGCTAAGTTTCTATATTGGCCTTATAAGAGCAAATATTATCCTAGAAATGTCAGACCTAAAATGTCAAAGTAAACATATAGAAAAAATAGCAAGAAAATGGATAATAAAAATGCAAAGAAGAGTCTGTAATAAAGTTCGAAAAGAAGTCTGGAACAAGAGATGCAAAAAGGTAATTGAGTGAAAAAAAACATTAGGAATTGATAGAGAGAACAAGACAAGAAGACCTCCATATCTTTCAAGCTGGAAAACTGTATTCCTAAAGAAAAAAGAGCCACTATCTGAAGAAGAAAACCTTGAAGATGAAGGCTTCTAAGAAATTTTAACAAAAAGAGTGAAGTATGGAATGAAATAGTTTGGTTTTAATTTTTGTCAGAACCTCACAAGATGATTTGCAATAGTGACCTGCAGGCAATGAAATTAATAGTTGAAAGAGTCTTTACCTGAACTGTTAATGGAGTGATAAATTACTTTCAAAGTTGCACTTAGAGTTTTAATAATCATTTAAAATAGAGACGAGTGAGTTAGGTAGAGAGTTAGTTTTAGTAATACATTTTTTAATGTAAAGTATACATATGTTTAATAAAGAACATATACCTAGCCTGACAGAGAATATAAAAAAAAAAAAACCAAAGTTTTTATATAGCTATTATGAAATACTTTAATTTTACTTATAATTCTTCAAAAATAGACTGCATGACTAATAGCTATATTTAGTTCTTTTAAATAAATTAAAAATCATCCTGTTTTATTATAATTTTTTTCTAATAGTTTTTTAAATTATAATATAAAAAATATTATTATACATACTACTAGATCATAATCTTTTCAATTGAGTAGTGTATTAGGTAAAAAGGTAAATAAAATACCACGAGGTCTAGTCACATTTTTTTCTTTCTTTTTTTTTGCTTTTCCAGCCCTTCGAACACATAACATGACATTCAATGTCCTGCTTTCTCACACGTTGATTCGATTTCCGATAAATTCATTGCTTCATCCATCTCCTTATATAAACTGTTCCAAAGCTTATATGGTTCAACGTATATCCCAGGATTAGGATTCTTAAAAGGCTTTTGTATTGTATAGTGTACTACATTCATATCTGGTAACAGTATTTTCCATAAATGCGGATTCAAATCCATTATTGAAAGATTTATATTGTACGTTTCAGGAAGTCGCAAGTATCTGAAAAAAAATATTTGACGTATGACTATAATAATCACGGTGAAAGAAACGATTAATGAATCGGTAATCAAACACTGACCTATATCGAAAGAATTCATTCAAAAAAGCCTGCTCGGCAAAACCGATATCATAACCTTTGGGAATCTTATGTGCCCTCATTATCTCCAAGTAGACATCTTTATTAGGTTTAAGAAGCATGAATCCTAAAGAGAATAATGATTATGTAGAATGCTATTATTATCACATCGCAACCCTCTTTTATTTTTTTTGTTTGAATATTATGTGCTAAGCGCTTACCGGCATTAAAGTTATTTGAATCTTTTCCCCACAGTACGTCCGGTGCGGCAGCAAATTCAAATCCGGTCGACGGTTTGATTAATTCGAATAGTTGGTCGATTCTTTTAAGTACAATGGTGTCTGAATCGAGATAAATAATGCCGTCTTTAAACTCGACATAGGACCAAATTTGAAGTTTCGAGAATTGATCAACGAATACTGCTGGAACTCCGCTCCACGGTGGAGGAATGCGTTCTATAGCTCTTGTTATCCAACCCATGGCTCGAACCTGGCAGAGTGTATTGTTTGATATTCTGTCTGGGAAATACATCAAATACATTTTATGATTCGGATGGTGCTTTTTAATCGTATATCCCAATAAAAGTGTTCCCTTTAGATACTCATTCGAATATAGGGAGGTGAAAAAAGCAACATTGGCTGTGGTTTGGTTAAGGTCTTCACCGGTGAACGAAGAATTATATTTATTTCGGCATGTGATTGAATCATGACAAACATAACTGCTATTATACAACGGTGAATCGTATCGTTGTCTTTTGATATTCTCATATGTGAAAATTAATAGCACTCCGAAAATGGAGAGGCCGCCAGCTACAAAAATGCATTTTATAATAAAACGTGATGGACCATATACTTTGAGGGAAGTATATTTGTAAGTATCTCTCATTACTGCAAACAGAAAAAAGCCAAAGAGTTGCGAATTCTAAATTTGACTGTATCATTATCACGCATTTTATCTGGGTTAAATTGCGCCACGTTGCCCGCATAGGAATAATAAATGATTGCATGGAAATTAAGATGGCCCGGATGTGTGGAACCGGGCTCACTTTGCATCCTTACGTCATTTAGTTAAATGATCAGCGGAAAATTTTTTTAAATAAAAAAAAATAAGTCAAGTTGAAAAAGAATATCTAGTGGCTTTTTTTTAGTTTATATGGAAATTATGTTTATATTTCGATCATGGAAGAACAAGTTTGCTGTAAATTTAGACAAACACAATTATACATAACTGTTCTGAAGATCAATTTCATAATGGAAAGTATTGTATCTATAAAACCACATCGTCGCGTGATCCGCGATAAAATTTTGTCGCGTTGAATCTCAGATTGTTACATAGTACGTTATCTGATTATCAGTTCGTGACATGATTTGACGACACGTGACTTTACTGTACAACTCGATCTTCAACTATATATTCACAATTAGGATGTTAATTATAACCAAGATTGATTTGTTGTCATTTATTTGGAAATCATTGGCTTTGTAAAAGATTTTTGCAGTTTTCAGGATCATTTCTATATCTTTCTTAGATCTTGCTATTCACATTGTATCATTCATGAAGGCTATAGCTACGTGTCTTGATTCTAGCCTTCTTGTAATCTGTTTTTTTTAAATCAGAGTTCCATATAACTGACATTTTGTACTTCTTTGTGTATTATTCTGGATTTTGCAAAGGAGAGGATCATAAAAAATTATTCAAAATAGAGTGAGATAGTTTTTTCTTGATCGATTTCATCTCCAGCTACTATTGATTCTGTGAGATTATTTTCAAATATAATATGAAATTCTCTATTTTTAAAGAGGCTCATTATGATTTTTATGAAGCCTTTTGGAGCTTTAATTCTTCTATTGCTTTTACTAGCATGTTTAGACTAATTGTATTATATGCTTTTGCAGTATTTTGAAAAAGTATCCACAGTTCTTTTTTGTTTTCTCTGGATCTTCACAAATGTTGTTGAGAATTTGAATTGATTCTGCTATACTTTCTTCTAATAGCCCTGCATAGTTTGAACCTTTGAGAATATTATTAGTTTTACAAATTTTTTTCATTCTATTGGTAAGGATTTTGGTGAAATACTTTCTTGTGACCTCTAATAAGATGATAGGTCTGATATTTGAGAGTTCACAATCTCAAGGTTTCAGTTTAGCTATAGGATATATGTGACTTTGTTTCTATTGTTTCAGAGTGACTTCCTATTTTAAGAAGTTATTTAACATTCTTCTCAAGAAATCTTTTTTCTTTTGACTTAATCTTTTTAATATTTCGTAACTGATTTGAGATTTTTCTGGAGCTTTGTTATTGGAAAGTATCTTCAGTGTTTCATTTGGTTCTTCTTATGAAATTGATTTGAGTAGTTTGTCATACCAAGCTATTTGAATATATTCTCTTGATTTGTATTTTTCTTTCCATTCTTCTGATAAACTGTTGTAGTTAGCATTTCTTTTTCTAAAGATCTCATGGTGATACTGTGTTATTTCCTTTGCTATTCATATTTTTGTGTTATAATGTATTCATTATTCATCTGCTTAATCTTAACTTTATCTAATATTATTTTGCTTTTTGTTCAATTAGTTAGAGAGCTGACCATTCATCTCTGATTGTTTCTCAAATCATTACATCTCTATTTCAGAATAGTTTTAATACTATCTCTTGTTTTTTTTTGACTTCCAATCTTTGGCATATGAATTTGAGACCTTCTATAGTTAATGATGAGTTCCTAAAGTATTTAGCATATAAAATTTTGCAGATCACTTATGTCCTTTTTTAAGGGACAAAATTCATGGCTCTTCACTTTAATAGGGACAAAAGTCAGGAAATGCTATAAATTAATGATTTAAATAATGAAGAACAATTGTTGGTAGTTTTTTTATAGTTATTAATTTAAAAATTTTAATATTTCCTAGTAAGAAACATTTGACTTATATCCCTGCCTCCCCCTTTAGGGACCCATCTTTATCTATAGTATCTTGGATATCTTTTTTCAAGGATTTTCATGGTATATTAGAGATACTATATTGGATATAATAATTTTCAATTTGATGATTTGAACTATAAGTACTATTCTGTTTTTCTATAGCTAAGCTAAGGGCCTGTAGCTTATCTATTTCTTTTGATGTTTCTGTTTTGTTATAAAATCCTTTAAGTTGTAGCACTTTTCTATAGCTAATAAATTCAGTATTATGTTTGTAATGCTTTCCTTCTGACTGAAGTATTTTCTTTATTGTCAGTTTGTTAAAGGCTGCTTTACATAGCAATTTCTCAAAGATTTTCCACAGTTTGTTTGCCTGATTCTCTTTTTCATCTTGATTGGGTTCTTCTTGAAACAAAGGTTCTAATGATGTTTTAAATTTATGATCTACACTTTCCCAAAAAGCTTGCCATTGTGATGGAGATATCCCCTTTATATCAATTCTTCTTGATATATTTGTTGAGGATTTTGTGGTTCTGCTTCTTGTAAAATGATCTTTGTTATATGGTATTATTAGAAGCATGGTGTGGTCACTCCCTGTAACATCTTTCATGTCTTAATTATCAAATTGGAGTAGTGGATAATTTGTTAGACTAAAAGAAATTCAAATATAGTCTATTCTACTACTACTTATTAGATTTTCCTTGTTAAAGTTTTCTCTTTGCCTTTACGTATGGCTTGTATATCTATAAAGTCCTATTCATTAAGAAAGTTAAATAATGGGATTTCAGGTCACCATAATAGTCTGAAGCTTGCTTTAAAAGAAGACTTTCTATATTCTGATGGGTTATAGGCTGCATTAAAATCTTCCATTACTATTGTGTGAAAGCCTTGTTCATATTTTCTTTTAATAAGATTATTTATCTTATTCTGTACCATTTTACACCTTAGTTTATCAGAAGGAATATAGATTTGTATAATACAAATCTTCTTTCTTTTCATAAGCATGTTGATGGCAATAATGTATCCTTCTTCTTTTTCTACTGATGCAATTTTTTTTTTCAAATCCCTTCTAATTAAGAGATTAACTTCTGCTTCAAATGGTGTATTTTTGTTGGTACTATGAAAGTGTTTATAATCTTTTTGATTGTTAAATGTCCACTGTGCATTGACTTGTGTTAGTTTTATTTCATATAATCCCAATATGCCTATTCCTTGTTCTAGTATCTCTTCAATCAGGTTTTGTTGTTTTGTTATATCTGTGATCCCTCTGACATTATGTGTGCTAATTCTGATTACTCTTTTATCTATATCACCTTCTTCCTGGATTTCTTAAATAGTTTGTGTCTACTATTGTTATTTAGAAAAATTTTTCACTCATCTTATAAAAATGTTGAGATATTTAGATACTCCATTTCTTCCAATTTATTATTGTTTATTAAAGTTCATTTGTTGTCCATATCTATAGTTTTTGATGAGGAGGTAGTGGGCTTTTGTTTCTCTTGATTGTTATCAAGGACTGGTACATCTTTAGGAGTGATTTGCTCCTCTATTACTTAGTCTTGATCTTCTGAAAACTGTCTATCCCTCTAAAGTATCTATTTTAGCATGTAGTCTTTTCAGATTGACTAAAATACTCTTAAAGAAATCTTGAGGACTTTCTATTTCAGGTCTCCCTTCATTTTTCAGGAAACTATGTCTATTGATTTGCTGATTTCTAATTGATTCTTTATTGCTTCCTATTGCTGGATGTTCTCTTCTTTTGTTCTTTTCTCATTCTATTCTATTGTGACTTTTGTATCTAATTCGTCTCTAGTTTCTGAAACTATAATGACTTGGTGAAGTGAAAGTAGAGTTTGTTGATTCGTTATTTGATTGTGTATCTGATGTTGATTTATTATCTACTTCTATGCTTCTAGATCTAAATCTTATATTTCTATTTTCATTTTTAAGATTTTGACTTTCTATTTTGGAAGTATGCTTGATACTCCAAGAGAGGCAATGTTCTTGCAAGAAAATATGTTGTTTGCATATTTTATCTCTTTCTTCTTTTGTTTGAAGCAGACTACTATAAAGTTATGCTTCTTGAGTGTATAAGGATCTTTGGGTGTATAGCATGCCTTAACTTGAGTACTATTCAATACTCTGGCTATCAAACTAATATAGGTTTTGTCAGTACCCAGGAGTCTTGCTAAATTATCATTTCTCTCAAATAATATTTGGTTGATTTTATTGTTACTAAGCTCAAACTTAGAAAATATAGCTCTTGACATCTCTATATCGATTGGAATCATCCAGATTGCTTCAGGATTTAAGTTGAGATATTTGTGCTATTTAATATAAGCCTTTACTTATAGTTTTGTATTTATCTCGTAAATATGAATATTTTGGACTTTTCCATATCTTTTTAGATATACCTTTTAAGGTTCTTATTGACTTTTTGATCCACATATATTAGGCATACATGTCAGACCTCAGTATCCTCTTTGGTTTTAGGTTCTTGAAAAACTTTCCTGTCTAGATTTCTTTTTGTTTTCTGTTTCTTGCAGATAGTTAAGGATGTTATATGTTG